TCCAAGCAGCCAAGGTGGAGAAACACTGGCCTAAAACATACCGAGTCTTTAAAAGATGCATGGGACCTCAGGTGGCTTGTGGTCCTGTGGCTGCAAATTATGGGAATTGAAATCTCGGCACATCTGGAGGGCAGCAGGTTGGGGAAAGTGATGGAGACCTGCCGCAAAATGGGGTGGCAGAGGGGCCTTTTTATACTGGCCCCATTTTCAAAGCAACACACTGCCCCTCAAAAGCTGCCTACAAAGGAGGCCATTCCTAAACAGTCTGCGAGCATCGTCTGGCCGGGAACAGCTTGAGGCACGAGAGCCTTTTGGAAAGGGGTTCCCCACCTGCTGTTGAGCCTGCCAGAGAAAAGGTGCCCTGAGCTTCCTCACAAGGATGCCCCCCACCCTGCCCCAGCCTCTCTTAATTTTCTTTCCTAGATGGGAACTGAATTGGTCTCCGTTCAGGAAAAGTGCTCTGCACATGCTCAGAGGCACTGCCGTTCAACCATTGGAAAGGGGGAAAAAAAGATGTTTGGTTTTGAAACTCGATCCTCAGCGGAGGGGTGGGGGGCACCTTTGGTCCACTGGCTGCCAAATCATGCTCCCCGAGACCTCCGTTTGGCCCTGGACTGTCCTGATTTTCCCCTGAAGGCTGAGCGGTTCACCTCTGCTCTGCTATTCCACGTCAAGTTTGAAATAAACTGGCCCCAAGCAGCTACACTTGATCCTTCCATCCCCGGGGATGAGGCTGGACCACAGCGTCGTTTCCATGGTGACTCTGGTCTCCTGCATCCTGGATGCTGCTGCTGCCAGAGCCCAGAGGAGAAGCGCCCAGCCTCCTCCTCCTCCTCCCCCTCCCTCCAGGTGGGGGCTGATATTTTATAGCCGCCCTTGGAGCCAATGGCATTGCAGGCAGCCGGGATGCCAGCAGAGATCAGGCGACTCCCTTCTCCCACATCTGCGGTGCATTGCAGGGCGTCCGGGGTGCTTCGGAGGAACTCTGGTTGACCCCTGCAGGCTCCTGCGCCGGATCAGGCAGGCGGCGACTTCTCGCTGGACCCTGGAGACTTTTCAGCCATGACGTCCCCTGAGCTTGGGAAGACGCCGGAGCTGCTCCGCCGGGATCCCTCTGGCCCAGCGTTGCTGCTGGGAGAAGTTTTTGCTTCCAAGTTTTGAAAGTTTGAGGGCTGGCTGCTGCCGTGGCTTTTTCCTTCATGAGCCCGGAAGGACAGGCCCCTCTCGGGTGCCGCGCCGCCCCCACCCGCCCCCACCTTCTCTCCTTCTCGCCTGTGCCCACTTCTGCCCCGCGACGGCCCCGGGGGCACACCTGAAGGAGGGTTTGCCCAGCAGCAGCCTTTGCGGGGGAGGCGGACTGGGAGATGGGAGCCGGTGGGGTCAAGGCAGCCAGCAGCTGACAGCGGAGCGCCTCCCCGGCACCTCGGCACGCGTGTTCCCAGGGGAGCTGCGCTGGCCCTGGAAAGGGGTGCGACTCACATGCCCCCAGAACTGCCCTGCGCCCACCGCAGGACCCTGGCTGGCCATGGCGATCCAGGGAATGGAGCTTTGCGCTGTGGCCGTGGTCATTATCCTCTTCATCGCTGTCCTCAAACAGTTCGGGATCCTGGAACCCATGTCCATGGAAGGTAACCTGGGAATGTCCTCTTTACTGTCTCCAATTCTGCTGCTTCTCTAATGTGGCCGCCTCGCTTTCCCCACCCCTCTGTCTCTCTCTCTCTCTCTGTCTCTCTCTCTCCAAACTTCTTGTATTCCTGGTCCAAGACGTTGCTTGTGAAGACGAGTCTTCGGCTCCTTGAATGCTCTCGTTCCATGCCTCTCTGCTCCCATTTTCCTTTCTGACTTATTACTCAGACTGAGCTGACCTCTCCTTTCCTCAGCCTGCTGCTGTCCTTTCCTTGGCTCTTAAGGAATCTTCTGAAAGCAGAGATTTTTGCCCATCTTCCCCAGGAGGGTAACCCCATCTTCCCCAGTTGCCCGAGATAAACACGAGCCAAAAGCTTTGCAAAGATTCAGCTGACCTGAAGCTTTCGCATTTCACAGAACTCTTCCTTGGAACCCCAAAAATCAAGGGGGTGGAGGGGGAAATGTCTTGAAAGGGCAGGTGGGTTGGCCCTGTCTGCTCTCCCAGGACTGAGAGGGAGATGGTGGAACATCTTGCTGCCCAATCACTTATAAATAATATAATAATGAGTGTGTGTGTGTGTGTGTGTGTGTGTGTGTGTATTCCTTCGTTAAACCCCTATCTCACTGTTCCTCCAGAAGCTCAGCATGGAACACGTAGTGCTCCTCCATCTCCTCCTCCAACCTTTCCCCACAGCTAAGGGGTAGCTTGGGCTGAGAGATTTGACTGGCTCAAAGGCATCCATGGGTGACCCCCACCACACTCTAAATGGGCACTTAGCTGTGTGCAGACCGAAGGATAGCTGCTAGGAAGGAGAGAGTGGCACCTGGCTTTGTGGCCCCCAAAGTTCAACAACTTGGACAAAGTCAAGCAGGTGGGCCTGGATGGTTCTGAAAGGAACTCATGGTTGAAATCAGCTCTGAGCTCTGTGAAAGAGGATGTGAATCAAATACGTTAGGGCTATCACATACGGACTGCAAAAACCTGGGTCACTCCTACATGGCAGCAACCCCTAACTCTTTGCTGCCCTCTAATGACCCCCTGGACTTTTGCAGCCCAAGTATTTTAGGACCAAAGTGGGTTCCATTTCTCAGGAGGTCAAATGCGGCAGTTGTACCCTGCCACCTTCTCTCGTTCCAAAGATGGTGTCTACCATCTTCTACCCAACTTCAAAGTGAAGACTCTCGTGACCTCATGGACACTTCCATGTCGTCTTCTGGGCAATTGCACTGGAGAAAGTTGCTTATTGGCTATTTCTTTTTGGCTATTTCTGACCAGGAAAGCCCCCTAGCCACCACTGTAATTTCCCAAGAATAATTAGGAGGCCCTTGTGAGGCCCTTGTCTTGGAAAAAGTGATCCTGAAGGTTGTCCTTCTGTTTCACAGCTGCCAGTTTCCAATTTAAGATATCCTCATTATTCTGATCCTATAAGAAAATAAAGTCAGGCAGAGTGGAATTTGTGGAATTTGGCAAAGGAAATTTCCACAGACTACACATTGTCTTTCCCTAATGTGGACTCCAGGGTGGAAATTTGTTCACAGTATCCTCAGTGGACAAAAAAACCACAATGCAGAAAGAAATTAAATTGGCACAGGGTGCAGAAGGCAAGTGGGAAGGAACTTAAAAAAACATTTTACCTCTGATCTGTTAAAAGTTTTAGAAACTTTGGTAACTAAAGAAGGCAGTAGCTTTAGAGTAAATCAGAAGTAGTTTGAAAAGAGGTTCCCTTTCTAGAGTATGTTGTGAACCCATAGTCTTTGAAGTTGAGTAAAAAGAGCCAGAAAGGTTTTTGCTGATCTGATTTAGCAGGGTTGCAAACAAAGTTATTGTAGACACGGTGAACATCAATCCTTCTTTAAAACTACTTCAGATCACCTCAACATCAATCACTTTCAGCTTTTAAATACCCCCAGTTCCATTCCTTGCGGGGCATCCCTTCACTGAAACATACTGTTTATCTGTCAAGCCATGACGTCATATGTAAAAAGTTTCAGAACTTAGCCAAGTTTTGCAGATTGTGGAATTGAATGCAGGAATATGCAGTGTGTCAGCTCATGCAAAAATAAAGAAGAAAGTGATGAGTGTTGAAGGTGTGGTGGTACCTGTCTGAAAAGCTCTGTTTTATTGATAACCCCAAACCGAGGCAAATGTCAGTTCACTCCCTGAATTTCCAGATTCAGAATTCTGCAAACGGGATGGCAAATCCTGCAGTAGGCAGACTTATCAGAGAGAGGGGATTCAAGGCAGAATCTGTTTTCTTGTGAAACAGTAGTAAAGAAAGTGACTCTGAGCTTGTGCAAAATGCATTTTGGGAGAACCACCTCCCAAGGCTGGTGTAATTGGTTTTCCTGCACACTGCAGATGGTTGGATAGATGATCTTTGGGATCCAATTCATTGTCCTATGCATTAACTTCTGGAGGTGCTGCATGTATTTATACAGGGGAAAGGGGATGAAAAATACGTTTCTCTTTCTCTGCTGCTGTTGCTAACATGAAAAAATGAAAGAATATTGGCAATACCAGATCCAAGGGTCAGCTCTGTTCAGGTGTCTCACCCACATGCTTTGCTCTAGGGTCGCTTTCCCCAACCTTGTGTTTCCAGATGTCTTGGACTTCCATGCTTGGGCCTGGTCAGTAGGATAATTGAAGTTTCAGCCCAAGAATCTGGAGATCTGCTGTAGATATTTTGCAAAAAAGATCAATGCCTTTTTTGTTTCTCTGTGATTATATTACTTATTCTTCAATGCAAGATATAAGTCCTTAAATAGAGGAAACCTATGCTGAATTTACAAGGGGAAATCCTGAGAAATGTACATTATTGTCAATAGAGGGACAACAAATGTGGATAGAATCATGATTTTATTTTTTAAAAAATAAAGCTAGCTAGAAAAACAGGGATATTCAAGTAGAGTCTTCATTAGAGGAAGAAAATATTGTATACAGTTCATTAGAAATCTTATCCAGGTGGGAGAGGAAGAAAGAGGAGATATTTGTTGTTGTTTTCTGGGCACACTGTTGACATATATATCTTTCATTTCCAGATTTTTTTTCTCTTTTGTTGTTGTTATCATTATTATTATTATTGTTCACTTTTTGTAGGGAAGGTTGCAGAGATGGTGGTAGGACAGAATTTCTGGATTACCTGCATCTCCTTCAGCAGGTACAGGATGGAGACCACCTTGGTCTCTCTTGCGGATGGCTTGTGGTGGGATGGGTGGTCATGGTGCACCTCTCCTGGTCCTGTTGATCCACCATGAAACCTTTGGGAACCCCTGGGAGGGTTCAGGATTGGACCCGCTCTTCTGCAGAGGTTCCAATCTTTCCTTAGAGATAGGCCAGGTCAAGAAACAGGACAGCCAAAGATTCCAGGAATGTTCTTCATTGCACAGTATTAAGGTAGAATTACAGACTCTTGAAAGCCGGTCTGATTTTGTTATACTGAACACAATCAAGATGGTTATTTTGAGTTTCCTTTTCATGCTTGCTTCAGTCCCTGGACTCTGAAATCTCGGATGCAAGTCCTTCCTTGGTGCCTTGTTCCTACCTTCCCCAAGATCAGCTCAAAATCCCTTTGCGGGCAGTCTCAAGCTAGCATTGATGGGGGAGAAGAGACCAAGCCCTTCAGTGGGCTGGGGGGGGGGGGGGGGGGGGCCTCCCTCCCTCTCTTATTCTCTTTAACATGTATATGAAGCCACTGGGGGAGTTCATCAGTCAGTTTGAGGTGAAGTATTGTTTATTCATTCAGTCAGTCTGCGCCCAGTCACAATCAAGCCAGACAGTCAACCACAACACAGCTAAAATATCCATATTAGATCAATTAAAACTGTTCATAAAATATATATAATGTAGAAGAGCAGTATCTTCAGTCTGCTCATGATATCTACCCCCAGGTGGGGTGCCTGGAGGTTGTGGGGGACTGGAACAGACCCAGATTGAATCCCATCAGGACATAACGAAATGCTTGGGCAGGGTCCTTCTGGTGCCATGGAAGGTTCTCTTGGCCTCTTCATTGGAGGGAGTAGGTTCTCCTGCTAGAGCAGCAAGTGGAGGCCATGGTCAAGAGAGCTCCTGGCCAGTCTTAGTTGGTCTGCCAGTTGTGACCTTTCTTGGACCAGGATGCGTTGGAGACAGTGACTCAGGTCCTTATCATCTCCTGGTAAGATTACTACCATTTTCTTTACATGGAGCTGCCCCTAAAGATGACTGGGAAGCTGTGCTGTGCAGGACCCGGGTTCTCGACTGCTGACCTGGTTTAGCAGAAGAACACCCATGTTGCAGGGACTGCTCTGTCTCCCAGCAGGCTTCTCGGCCCAATTTAAGGGGCCGGTAATTACCTCTAAACCATCTTGGGTCCTTGCTATCTTTGGGGCCTTCCCCTCCAAGTGGAATTAGCCAATCCGGTTAACCAAGAAAGGATATTTAGGGCTCCCATCCCCAAGGGATGGGCGGTGATAGGGAACCAGAGAATAGCCTTCTTGGTTGCAGCCGCCTCCCTCAGAGAACAGCCTCCCTCCTGCTTTCTTTGATCTCCTGCTTACAACCATCTAGAATCTATGGAGTAGGTGGCAGATAAATGCATGTCTCAATAAATACAGATTAACAGCAATCAATCAGAAAAACTATTCCAGGGAACTCAGAATCTTGTGTGATCCTTGGTGATTTCTCCTTGTAGTTTTCCTGAGCGCAATATTAATGCAACTCATTCTGAAAAAGTGAGGTGGAGAACATACCACTTAGCAAAAGTAAACAAACACATTTTCTTTCATTGATTCCCAAACAAGGTTTCCTCTCTCTCTTCATGCATTTTGCTGTTATAAGCAGGAAGATGGAACCACTTTGTGCTTGGATTCATATTCCCAGGGCCCAGGTCAGCCTTCCCCCACCTTGCAGATCCTTTCTAAATAATTGCAATGTCTGGAATTCCCAGCTAGCTGCCGTCTGGGAGCTCCAATACCCAGGAGAGTGCCAGGTAGACCCCATGGAAGCAATAGTTGACACAGCAGA